GTCCTACCCTGGCACCTTGGAGTGGGCCAAGGGGGACACAGACCACCTGATCTCCTGTCCTTCTCACTTGTCTCTATTCCTCTGACGTCTGCTGGGGTCCCCTAGGATGTGTGCTGGCATTACCAGGGACACTGGCCTTCCTGAGGACTCGGGGATGCCTGAGAGGTCGAGGCAGATACCACAGTTCCAAAGCACAGTTCCTTTCTCTGCACATTTACTAAGCCGAGTGGCAGCCGGGCTGAGCATGGACAACCGTGACCTTACCCCAACAGGAGTCCTCCCAACCCCCAGCCTGGCTGAGGCTCTCAGAGTTTGCTAGGATAGCCAATCCTGCAGGCCTGCCTATAGAGTTCTGACCTTCCAGGGCAGGAATGCAGAGTCCATGCTCCCTAAGAGCAACTTGAGCAGCCGTCAGAACTGTGGTGGTGGTGGGCAGGGGCTGAGGGCCCAGAGAGGGATGTGAAGGTGTGTCAGAACTGGTCAGAGAAGGCTTCTGGGCTGTTTTTACCTTTCAGGGCCCATCAAAATACCATGCTAGAGTCACAGGGAGGCAAAGGATTACCACTGCCCCTCTCAGCAGAGAGAGAGAGACAGACAGACAGACAGACAGACAGACAGACAGACAGACAGACTGGGAGAGGCAGGTCTAGGGTGGAACTTGGATAGGCTGATCTCGGAGGTCTCACTGGAATTAATACCTGGCATGACAGGAAACTGAGTTTCTCAGCCTCCAAGGACCACACGGGGGGTACCTCAGAGCCTGGGACGAGGCAGGCCACCCGGGGGGTCAGAGAGGAAGCCCAGGAAGAGCATGGCCAGCCTCTTCCCCACTCAGCATGAAGGGACACAGGCAGGCTGGAGCAGGGAGCTCAGATCAGAGAGATCAGAGAGGCTGAGGAGAACTTTGTGGTGGAAGGCTGAGGACCCAGTTACCCTGGAGACGGTCAGGGATGCAGGAGCTGTGGCTCCCTCAGGGGAACCACTGTCCAGACCCAGCTCAGGACGGACAGACAGGACCCTGATGCTGGGTGAGCCCTGGGCTGGGAAAGGGGGGAGCCTGGCTGTGGGCAGCAGCCACATGCTGCAGTGGAACAGGCTTCACTTTGACACTCATCAGCTGGTGACGTTGGACCAGTCGCTTAGCTGTCATCGCCTCAGTCTCCTCAAGTGTAAGGTAGGAAGGTTGAAATGGTCAAGTGTGGCCAGGTATGGAGCTACACACCCTGTTCCTATTAATTCCTCACAGAAACCTTACCCCCTCTCTCTCTGTCTGTCTCTCTTTCTCTGTCTCTCTCTCTCTCCCTCCCTCACATATGGCTGTTTTGTTTGCATGTGTATCTATGCCACATGTGTCGGGTTTCCCCAGGGGCCAGAAGGGGGGGGCCAAATCCCCTGGAACTTGAACAGGCAGTGTGAGCTGCCATGTGGGTGCTGGGACTTGAACCCAGATCCTCTGGAAAGGCATCTAGTGCTTGTAACCACTGGGCCACGTATCAAGCCCTGAGACTTATTGGTTCTGCACGCATGGGAGGTGTGTGGAGGTGAGGGTCCCAAGCCAACCCTCCGGCCATGGCATTTTGCCACCATCGCCTTCCCGGGCTGTAGATATACTTGCTTTCCGGGCTGCTGGCAAGGCTGGCGTCTGTGCTGTGGTTTCAGTACTGGGTGAGGAGGAGAAGGACTCCGCATCCACCGAGAGGCCAGGAGCGGCTCAGCCAGGCTCAGTTCTTCAGCACTCTTCCCTAACACCTGCCCTCCTGACCGTGCAGAGCTCACAGCTTGCAGAGCCCTTGCCCCGAACCATCCAGTGTCACTCCGTTCCACGGGTGTGAGAAACACGCACTTCCCTCAGGACCACGCAGGAGGGGAAGGCAGGAGTAGCTTGCACCTGCTCAGCTGCCAAACAAGAATAATTGGGGGGCTGGAGAGCTGGCTGGGGGGTTAAGAGCCCTGGCTGCTCTTGCACAGGACCTGGGTTTGCCTCCCAGCACCCACGTGGCAGCTCGAGACCATCGGCAACTCCAGTTGTGGAGGACCGGATGCCCTATTTTGATCTCCTCGGGCACCAGGCGTTCCCCTGGTGCATAGAGCGACATGCAGACAAAAAGTACACAGAAAGTAAAGTTGAATTTTAAAAAGAAGTGATACCATAGTAATGACAATAATAACAAACTTGCTGTTTTCAGTCTTCTACGGGTTGACCCGGGAGACGCTGACTCCGACTTTATTAGTTATTTCTGTGCATTTGTGTGTGTGTGTGGGGGGGTGTACGGATGTGTGTCTACTCCTGTGTGCGCGAATGTGTGTGTGCGTGCGTGCGTGTGTGCGTGTGTGTGTGTGTGTGTGCGCGTGCGTGTGTGTGGTGTGTGCGTGTGTGTGTGTGTGTGTATCTGCATGTGTGCTGGGGCATGACTCCTGCCTGCTTGGGTGTGGGCTTCCTACAGCAGCCTCCCTTCACTGAGGGTAAAAAGTGAGGAAAGAGTTAAGTTCACAGAAGAAATTGGTCAACACCAGCCAATGGCAGGCCCTGCTCACAGGAAGCACCTCAGTCCTCCTGATGAGACTTCAGCTCTCTACACGGCCTTCCCCCTGAAGACCCCAGCCCCGAGCCCCAGAGCCCCAGGCTGAACCTAAGGAAAACATCAGCCCTGGGCTAGAGAGCAGAGCCGGTCTATCAGCCACGTGCTGTAGAACAGGAGGGGCGAAGGGGGAGGAGGAAGACTCAAAGACTCAGAGCTGTCTGGGTTGTCAGCAACAAGGAATGTTGTGTGGGATCCCAGTTGTGACAGAAGGGCGATGGTGAAAACTAGGACAGTGTGAGTTGGTTATGGACTTGGTTAATCACGTAATGGCCAGCTCACCCACTGCAGCTAACAACAGGGAAATATGACACATCTATGCACTATTGTCATAACCTTTCTGAAGTAAACCTGAAACTGAACCAAACAATGCAGGTCTTTTTGTTTGTTTGTCTGCTTGCTTGCTTTGATGAGACAGGGTTTCTCTGTGTAACCCTGGCTGTCCTGGAACTCACTCCGTAGACCAGGCGGGCTTCAAACTCAAGGATCTGTCTGTCTCTGCTGGGATCAGTCACGTTCTGCCATGGCCAGCCATGATGTAGAGATTTATTTTTTTAACCAAAATTTCTTTTTAAATAGTGAAAGGTTTCCTGGGCCAACGTGTCAGTCTTCTTCTGGCGTGGGCTAGCACTGCTGGGGAAGCCATGGCCGGTGGCCAGGCCCCCTTCTCGGTCTTGCCCGGTTTCTAACTGTGGAACCCAGGCAGTCGATAACCTCTGCGCCAGGTCTTCTCAAAGCAGGAGTTTACAGGATCATTGAGAAGGTCAAATGCTGTGGATATAAACATGTGTTTGTTTTGGCCCCAGGTGTGGGATGTGGGCTGATTCGGATGGTCACAGCAGCAGACTATTTGCCTCATGTGGGCTCTGAGAGGGGCTCCTTGTCAGGTGCAGATAGTTTAAATCTGAGGACCCTGGAGAGAGAATAAATGCCAGAGCCCAGAGAGAGTGATTAGAGAAAGACCAAGGCTGCTCCTGCTTCCCCCTTGCTGCTCCTGGTTGCCCTTGTGAGACAAGAAGATGGAGATCTCCTGAAACGAGGACTGGACTGGCTCCAAGGAACCTGACAACCCTGACCAGCAGGAAGCAGCTGAGAAAGAACTGCGCCCCTCTCCCACTAACCCTCTCTCTGCTCCTGATGTTGGGGGTGTTGGAAGGGCTTGGGGTGAAGCAGAAGAAAAGAGATAAAGGAAACAGAAATAAAAGCTTTTAAAGGCACACCGACGGGTAAATGTACGCTTGTATTCATTAGGCGCTCCACCTGTGGTGCTGTAGCTCTCAGGGGCGCACACGGGCGTGTCTGGGCTGAAGGTCTAGGGGCGGGGAGTGGACACCAAATTTGCAAATAAAGCCCCACCAAGTTACCAAGAGGCTCTTCAAAGTTCTCTCGGCTTATTGGCTAGTAACCCCACCTACGAGCCACCTAAGGTGGGCAGCTTCTCTTGACATTCTATTTATTGTTGCTCTCTCTCTCTTCCTCCCTCCTTCTCTCCCTCTTTCTTCAGACAGGGTCTCTGTGTTACCTCGACTGCTCTCAAATGCATAGGCTCAAATGATCCTTCTGTCTCAGCCTCCTGAGTAGCTGGAACTATAGACCTATGTCCTATTTTCAGCGAACATGCTATTTTCTATGCATTACAGCCCAGGTGTTGTCAAGAGGTCAACGTGTAGAAGACTGAAAGCAGCAAGTTTGTTGTTGTTATTACTACTACGATGTCACTTCTTTTTAAAATTTAACTTTAATTTTGTCTGCACGTCGCTCTACGCACCAGGGGAACGCCTGGTGCCCGAGGAGATCAAAATAGGGCATCCGGTCCTCCACAACTGGAGTTGCCGATGGTCTCGAGCTGCCACGTGGGTGCTGGGAGGCAAACCCAGGTCCCGTGCAAGAGCAGCCAGGGCTCTTAACCCCCCAGCCAGCTCTCCAGCCCCCCAATTATTCTTGTTTGGCAAGGAAGTAAAAGCAGGCTGTGCTGCCAGTTGGGAGTTTGTCCTTCTAACCTCGCCACCTTCTTCCCGAATCCCTTGCTCCAGTGTCAGTCTTTTCTCTGGTCCATCCTGCTGCTCTGCTTACTAAGCAGTGAAACAACCTTTGGTGCTCATGGCTTGCCTGTACTAACCTGTGCTCTAGTGCAGTCCAGGCTGGGGGGGGGGGGGGGGGGCTGGCGGCGGGAGCCGAGGCAGCGTCTGCAGGCGGTAATGGCTTGCCTGTGCTGGCCTCCTTTCACTCAGTTGGGGGCCCAGTCGGCTGAGCCATGCTCCCTGCATTCAGGGGGTCCTCCCTTTCTCAGTTAGGCATCCGTGGGCACCCAGAGGCGTGTCTTCTGTGTGGTCCTAAAGCCCATGAAGTTGAGGAGAAAGATGAACCAAGAAGCGTGATTTCCACTCGGACGAATGGCGTGCCATGCACGCTTTTCTACGCTCAGTTCTCAGTTCTTTATTCGATACAGGTTGTAGATTTCGTGTGAGAACAGTTTGCTTTCTCCCGCTTTGTGACATGTTATACAGAATACAGTGTGTGCGTGTTTCCACCACAGTCACGGTAGCCAGTGCCCCGCTGGCAGACACCGGGTCGGTCCCATTCCTCCCTGCAGACTCCGACTTGGCGAGAGCAGGTTCCTGCAGACAGATGATTGGGAAGCACAAAGAGGCCCACGCAGGACTGGGTCTCTCTTGCCTCTGGCCTGGCCTAGCCCGCCTCCCCATGTTTCTTTGCTTCTTCCTCCTCCTTCTTCTTCCTCTCCTGGTATCTCCAGACAGGAAGAGCCAGGCTTCGGTGCCCTGCAGGCCTGAGGATCAAGTCGTACTGGGTAGTGGGGGAAGGTGCCTTAGAGAGGAGGATCTTGGGGACTTGGGACCTGGGACTGACCCTGGACGGCAGCCACTGGGAGAGCATGGGCTGATGGCTCTGGGAGGGGACAAAGGCCTGGGAAGTGGGGACTGCCTGAGGAGGATGGGGTGCAGGGGGTGGGGGAGGGGCGGTACCCAACAGCTCTGGCACCGACTTGCCTCGGGTGCCTAGCGTGGGGGGGTGGTCAGGGCACAGCGTGTGGCAGGCTGTGCTGAGAAAAGGACTGGCCAAGCTGGTGGTGACAGTCACGAAGTGGTCCAGCACACCCCCTTCCTGCGGAGACTGAGCAAAAGCGAGGCTCAGGGTGGCTTGCAGCCTCTCCAGGAGGGACGGGGCGGCCTGGACCTGGGCCTGGGCCTGGGCAACAAGCTGGGCCAAGGCTGGCCATTCTGGCTGGTAGCACAGGCTGAGCTGCTCTGCCCGGGGTCGCCTCAGCAGCTGCCTAATCTTCCGCACTGTGTCAAAGCTGTCAGTCAGAACGGCCCACTCCAAGGCTGTCCTGCCCCGGACGGGATCCACTGAGCTCAGGTCGGCACCTGCAAGTGGCCCAGCGTGACAGGGAGGGGTTAGGGAGCTGTGGTTTGTGCAAAGGCGCACCCTTCAGCCATGGGGTGGTTTAAGTGAGATTTGGAACACCTCCCGGACTGGAAGCTCTGTGTACACAGGGCTGCAGCCTTCTGTGTAAAAGACAGGAAGCTACCACAGTCAGGACTGGGGGAGCCCACGGGGCCAGAGAAACAGTCACTCTGAAAGGAGAAAGACAGGGGGTGCCCTTCCTTCCCAGGAAGAGCTGGAGGCAGGGATCCCTCAGAGAGGGACCAGCAGAGGGCACTGTCAGCCACCTCAGGGAATGATGAGGGCTCCGCAGCTCCACAGAGAGAGCTGTCCTGGACAAAAGGCTCCAGCTGTGACCGACCACCGAACACTGCCCTGGAGCTGAAGCCGGTCCCTGCTGCTGCCCTACCCCACAGCCGTGTTCCTCTACCTGGGTCTCTGGCTGAGGCAAGGCTGGGACTAGAACTCGGGGCTCTGGCTGTAGGTCCCACCTCGCTGCTGTGCCTTTCCCCATCTGATGCCTGCACTCTCAGCTGGGCCCTCTGTACACAGAGCTGCAGCTAGCTGCACCAGCCAGCTGCGGAAGGGTGGCGGCCTGTCCTGCGCTCCGGCCACACTCTCCCGCTGTAGCTAAGTGGTGTCTGGGGGTGGTGGAGGAGGTGGGCCACACACCTGCCATGAGGAGGGCGACCACACACTCGGAGCGGTCCCGCATGGCTGCCTTCATCAGAGCCGTGAGCCCCCGCTGGTCCCTGTGCTCCAGGTCCAGGCCAGCAAAGTAGTTGAGCAAGAGACTCACCAGAGGCACATGACCTGCGGGGACAGGACCAGGGGCACGTGACCTGCAGAGCCAGCCACAGAGCTAGGCTGCCCAGGTACCAGGGCGGTGAAGCGTGGTGAGGAGAGCCTTGTTCGGGGTCTGGGGCCCATGGGGGTGGGGTGCTGTGTCTCACACCTGCCTGAGCGGCCAGCATGAGGGCCGTGTTGCCGTCTTTGTCCTGCTGGTTCACATCCAGGAAAGGACAGCAGCTGAGCAGAGCCACAATGGAACCAAAGCCGTGGTAGCTCGCGACCATGAGGCCTGTCTGGGGACAGAGCAGCTTTACTTTTACTTTCCAGTAAGGTCTCCTTGGGACCCCCTCCCCTAGCTCTCATTTTTCAGAGCCTGCTGGAACCCCCACGGGGGAGGGCAGGTCTGAGCTGTCCCCAGCTGCTCTGCTGAGACGGGGCATCTCACCCTCCCATTGCTGTCCACTTGGGAGGCCTCCTCCGGGGAGACCCCGGCGTCCAGCCTGGCTTGGAGTTCAGCAGGGTCGTGTGGACGCATGCCCAGTACAATGTCTTCAAGTCGCAGCCGGGGGTAGGGGTCTCGGTGCTGGGGCAGGACAGTGCCTCGGACATGGCCAGTCTTCTCTGCAGCACCGGTGGCTCCTCTGCCTGCAGCCTGGATCCCTCTTTAGTCAGCTGGCAGCTGTGATGGAATGCGGGGGAACAGCTTCTCCCGGAGTCAGCCTCCCCAGGGAAAGCCTTCACCCGGGGGAGGGGTGTCTTCCCCCTGCCCAGACCCAAGTCAGGCAGCCAAGGCCTCTTACTGTAGGTCAGGTCCCCAAGGGGGCTCCTGACAGGGGTTATCACCCTCCCAAAACTTACCTGGAGCTCTAGGGTCTCCAAAAGATCACCACAGCCAGCGCCCAGCCTGCGGCTCAGAGCACCCCTACACCCCAAAAGCCCACTAGCCCTTGTGCGAAGCAGCTGATAGACTGTGTGTCGCCAGGAGCCGAAGGTGACAGATGGCTGTGCCTGCAGAGCTGCCACAAACTCCTTGGGGCTGAGCTGGGTCAAGCGGGTTAGGAAGGGATTGGGGGCCTGGAGGGGTGGCAGAACTATCTGCCATTGCCCAATCCCTGCTCCAAGGTCCTGCTAGACTTGGCTGGTGGCCGAAGCTCCAGCCAGAGCTGAGGGGCTCCCCTGGGCTGAGCTTTGTCACCACTAAGCCGAGGCCTTGCAAGGGAAGCATGCTGAGGGTCTGGGTGCCCAGCTGTGGAGCCCGGCAGCACCTGCACTTCAGAGGAGCAGATTTGGGGAGGCGGCCGTGGCTGTGGTGTGGAGAAGGTGTGAGCATTAAATAATGATGGGCTCCAGGGTTTGCCCAAGGAAATCAAAAGGTAAGGAGTTGTCAGCAGCTGGAGATGGGGGTCAGGAGTGCAGAATGCTGGCTGCTCTCCCAGAGGACTGCGGTTCCACTCCCAGCACCCACCGGGCAGCTCACAACTGCCTGGGACTCCAGACCAGGGAATCTGATGCCCTCTTCTGGTCTCTGCAGGCACTACAGTCACGGGCGGTCCATAGACACAACACACAACGGGCAAAACAAAACAAAACAAAAAATGCACCGTAAACAGAAAATAAAAATAAACATTAAAATAAAAATAAACCTTAAAAAATTCAAGTTGGGAGTATGGAAATTATGATGTATTGAATTCAATGGATTAGATTTGAAGTTTCAAGTAAAAAAGTAATAAATTTATACTGTCTTTTTTTTTTTTTTTTTTTCTTCCCCAAGACAGGGCTTCTCTGTGTAGCCTTGGCTGTTCTGGACTCGGACTCGCTTTGTAGAGCAGGCTGGCCTCACATTCAGAGATCTGCCTGCCTCTGCTTTCCAAAGTCTGGGCTCAAAGGGGTGCGCCACCACGCCCAGCGACTTTTACCAGTCACTATGCTGCAGAACTTGTCTTTCACCCCACCCTGCGTTTTAAAGACCTGTCTTAGTGACGTCAGTTAGGATCTTGATGGGGTGGGGCTGACCTGGAGAGCAGGGTTCGGTCTGGGCTGGACCCAGCCTCCATCCAAAGCCAGCTTGCCGGAGACCGGCCAGGCACCACAAGCCGGCTCTGCAAGCGGCTTCCTGATTCACCAGCTCCAGCGCGGGCAGAGGTCACGTGACTGTGGCTTCGGCCCTGGAGCCTGCCTTTCCAGCCCTTCCCATCTGAGCCAGCCAGTGGTTATTTCTGGTGCGTGCCCCTGCACGCTAACGGATGCACGTGGCCTAGCAAATAGTTTTACTTTTCACACACACAAAATTTCAAGGACTAGCAAGCCGTCGGTATTGGTTAAGGGATCAGATGGCTCCGGGGCCTTACCTGGACCTCTCCTATTTTCCCTCTTAGTCACAAGATGGCTGCTCTACCCCAAACCATCCGAGTAAGACGTGCTGAGTGTGCCCTGTGGAATTCTGTGCAGTACTCAGATGTCCAGGAGATTGTAGGGCACAAATCTCTGCTCACGGACCCCCGCCCACCCACAGCTTCCTTTCTCCCCGAGCCAGGTCCGATTGTGTATCACAGGCTCCGGCGGTAAACTGTAGCGGAAGTCCGGTGGAGGGAGGCAAATCTTGGCCGTTTCACCTGCTCCCTGCGGCGTGGCATCCCGCGGATGCGCGCAGGGCCGTGCGCCCAGCACGTTCGCCTCGCCATGCTCCTTAAGGAGCCCTGGGGCACACTCCAGCACGGCACAGACGTGAGCCGGGGCGGGAAGCTGAGGCCCTGGCCACTCGGATCTGCAGCAGGAAGCCACGCAAGGTGAACGTCCGCGCTCGGCGCCCGGAATGGCGCCGCCCACCGTGAGGGTGGCCCCGCCCCTCAGTATTGTAACCTGGATAATCAATCCCTCCACCGCAGGGCCTCAGGCTTGAAGGATGGTGTTAACCCTACCGTGCCCTGGGCTGCTGGCAGCTTCTCGCCGCTAGCAGACAGTGCTTTGATGGGCGCCCGTGGATTCCTCCAGCCCGGGGCCTACTGGCTTCAGGGTACACGCTCGTGGACCAGGTCGTGCCATACTGCTCTGTTTTACAGTGTTCCCGTCTCCAGTGATTTTTGTTTCCTCCTTATCCAGGCCAATGATTCATCAACCGGACAGACAGAACTAGGCGGCCACATCCCCACTTAACAGGGAACTTCTTGGAGTCACCAACGTGAGCCTGAGCCTCATATCTAATAGCCGATTTCCAGTAGCTTCGCAGTCCACGTGCCTGGATGTCTCAGCTGACACCAGAATCCCAGATACACGCTCTCATTCCAGTGAAGGAACGGGCCTGCCAGCAAGAGCCAGCAGGCAGACAGAGCAAGCTTGCTTCCCTCTTCTTCCATATCCGTTATGGAGGCAGAAGCAGGCAGATTTCTGAGTTTGGGGCCAGCCTGGTCTACAGAGCGAGTTTCAGGACAGCCAGGGCCACACAGAGAAATTGCCTTGTGGAAAACGAGAAAAGGAATGAGTGAAGACCTGGGCAGGGCACAGTAGCCAACCCTAAGGGAGCGAGAACGGCAGGTGAACCTCGGGAATAGCCAACAGCTCTCTGACTGGACCTCCTCAACAAGAGTGAGCTCAGCCGTGGTGCTGGAAACTTAGCACCCTGTCAGAACAGATGAGGCAGTAGATCTCTGAGTTTGAGGCCAGCCTGGTCTACAGAGTGACGTCCAGGACAGGCAGGGCTACACAGAGAAACCCTGTCTCAGTAAAGCCAAAAAAAAAAAAAGAAAAGAAAAAGAAAAAGGAAGGAAGAAAGGGAGAGAGAGAAGAACAGTGCTGGTCAGGATGAGAGAAGGAGCAGCCCCTTACTTCCTGCTGGTGGGAGTGTAAATTCATGTGGCCTTTATGGCAAGGATCGAGTGAGTTCCTCAAAGAACTAAAACAGAAACTCTCTACCCGCTCTGCCAGCCCTGGCTACATCTCTGAGTCAGCATTCCTGGACGCCATGTTTACTGGGAAACTGTTGACAGCAGCTAAGATGGAGCAGTCTAGAGGCTCGTCAACAGATCAGCAGATAAAGAAAATGTGGTCACATACCATGGAGGTTTACTCAGCCATAAAGAAGGATGAAATTATATTATTTTTGGGAAAATGGATGCAACAGAGACAATCGTGTTAAATGAAATAACCCAGACCTAGACAAATATTGAGTGTTTTTTCTTCAAATGGCGAGTCTATATTTATTAAAAAATTATGAAATGAAAACAATGGTATATTAGGAAAGAAAAGGTGTCTAAGAGGAAGGGGACAACAGAAACTAAGGCAGAATATTCCATGCTTTGTTTCAGATGTGGATTTAGATGTATGACATGAAAACAGAAGTAGGCGCTGGAGAGACGGCTCAGGGGTTAAGAGCACTGGCTGCTCTTCCAGAGGTCCTGAGTTCAATTCCTGGCAATCACACTTCCAGCTCACAACCATCTACACTGGGATCTGATGTCCTCTTCTGGTGTGCAGGCGAACATGCAGACAGGGCATTCATATACACAGAATTAGTAAGTCTTAAAAACAAACAACAACAGAAGACAGCCTTGGGCTGGACTGATGGTGCAGGGCTCTTGCAGAGGACCAGGCTTTCTTCCCAGAATCCCGTTCTCACAACCTTTAATAACATTCCAGGTCCAGGCAGAGGCAGGTGGATCTCTGTGACTTCAAGGCCAGCCTGGTCTTCGGAGGGAGTCCAGGACAGCCAGGGCTACACAGAGAAACCCTGTCTTGAAAACACACACACACACACACACACACACACACACCCCAAAACAAAACACAACAACAACAACAAGAAGGCAGAAGGGAAGCCGTGAGGGAGAAGCCGGGGGAAGAACGGTGACGGTTGCTAAGGACAGGGCTGCACACGTATGAAAACGTCGTCATGAAACACTGTAGAAACTGAAGCCTGGCAGCGTGGATGCAGCTCGGTGGCAGAGCAGCCTGGCACGCAGAAGCCCCGGGTTCATTCCCAGCACTCCAGGAGCTATTGAGGCCAAAGTGGAGCCCTGGGCCAGCAGGGAGCGCTCTGGAAGGCAGAGCGAGGAGTCTCCAAACCAGGGCGAGAATGCTCTCTGAAACCCAGTCCGCTGTGCCCTGGCCTGTGGGACATTTGCTTCTGCATTTTTGTCACCTCCCACAGTGGAGGAAGAGCTGCAGCCTTGCTTTCCCTCCCCGACTGAGTCGACGGCACAGACTCGGTGGCTCTCTCCCAACTTCTGTGCCACTCCAACACACACAAGCTTGGAACTTCCTTCAGTATTTTGTGCCATCTTGTCAGACCGCCGCAGTGGCAATGGGACATTGATTTTGTGGCTCTGGCTGTATAATGTGGTGAGTTCTCACGTTTTAGGGTGTTTCACAAAATGAATTTTTTTTAATTTAATTTAATTTTATGTGCATTGGCGTGAGGGTGTCAGATCACCTGGACCTCCTTATGGACAGTTGTGAGCTGCCCTGTGGCTGCTGGGAGTTGAACCCAGGTCCCTTAGAAAAGCAGACGGTGTTCTTAACCACTGAACCATCTCTCCAGCCCATGAATTTTTATTCTCTCACATAAAATTGCAAGCAAGATCATTGGATTCTCTTTAAACATTTACAAAGGACCCATTTATTGATTTAGGTTTGTATGTGTTGGTGTCTTTGCGTGGCCCTGCACGCCACAGGGCATGTGTGGGAGTGAGGGCATCTGACAGGAGTCATTCTCCTCCCAGGCGGTGCCCAGGGTCACTTCAGGTTGTCCGTCGCGGCAGCAAGCCCCTTGACCTGAAGAGGGCTCTCCCAGCCCAGCTGCTGGAAGTTTTAAGGCTTTAATAAACATGGATAGGAATTGCGTTGATCTTATAGGTTAACTGGGGAACAGAGTCCGCCTCTCATTGTGGGTCTGGTACCGGGTGAAGACAGCCCGGATGGCGCCGTTTTCTCCCTTCAGGCAGGACACAGCTGATGTCTGTGAGCCAGGAAACAGATGCTTAGTGGATTCTGCAGCCTTCATCTTGGACTTTTTTTTTTTTTTTTTTTTTTTTTTTTTGGTTTTTTGAAACAAGGTTTCTCTGTGTAGCTCTGGCTGTCCTGGACTCCTTTGTAGACCAGGCTGGCCTGGAACTCACAGAGATCTGCCTGCCTCTGCCTCTCAAGTGCTGGGATTATCTTGGACATTTAAACTCAGGGCATTGGGGATTATACTCAGGCCCTCATGGTTGCCCAGTGAGCACTTTCCTGGCAGAGCCACCTCTCAGCCCTCAATAGCCGAGGAAAGCCGGGCATGACGCCTGGCTCTTTCCCAGGTTTGCCCATGCCTGTCACCAGGGTTAAGGTTTTTCTTCAGGCTGGCCTTAGGTGTCCGCTGTTGACTGCCAGCTTTTATTGCTATTGTTAGTCGGGTTGCTGGAATGCCTTGGGTGCTTTTCCTCCTTTTTTTCCCGAGTCCACAATTTTTGCTGAGTTAGATTAGTTACAACGAGAAGAGCGTGACACACTCCCAGTTATTCAGCTGCTTAGATTTGAGGCCTGCTTCACAGGCAGGAGCTCATGCTCCGTATTCTAAACCCGACGGGAAGACCGTGTCTGGGAAGGTCACAGACGCTGAGGGAGCCAAAGCTGCTGCCGCCCTCATCAACACCACCCTCAGCCGTGGCCCTCATCAGCGGCCGTGGGAGCCTCTCTTCAGTGGGCAGAGTTAATGCAGAGAGCCGGGACTAGTCAGGTAACCTGTGTGCCCTGAGCGTGCTCGGCCCTAAGGGGAACGTTTTATAGTAACTGACCCACGAGGCCCAGGGAACATCTCGGAAGAGGAGCCTGGAAGAGCTCACGACCACTATGGCTGCCTGCCCGAGGTCAAGCCGATCAGATCAGCCAGCATCCCAGAAGACAGTTCTAACTCGACCCCGTGTGCTACAAAAAGTAAATGAAGGAAAGATTAAAGAAGATGAGATGATGTTTGAGGTGCCAGGGGGAGTTGAGGGAGAGTTGGGAGTGGACATGATTAAGATACATTATTTACAAGTATGAACTTGTCAAAGAATACAGAAAAGGTATCCTAGTGAAATAAACAACAGCAGCACCCCTCTAAAAAAAATCACGAAAATTGCAAAAAAAAAAAAAAAAAAAAGCAGTTAGTTCATTCAAGAAATACAAATGACCAGTAAATACAGAAAAAGATCGTTAGCCCTAAAAGTAAGCAGTTCATAAGCAAATTAAAAACAAAACAATGGGTGGGGCATGGTGGCACACCTGTGATCCCAGCACTCGGGGAGGCAGAGACAGGTGGATCTCTGTGAGTTCGAGGCCAACCTGGTCTACAAAGCGAGTCTAGGACAGCCAGGGCTACACAGAGAAACCCTGTCTCAAAAATAAGAAATAAACAAACAATCAAACAAATAAATAAATAAATAAATAAGGAAGCCAGGTATAGTGGCCAGCCTGGGCTACAGAATGAGCTCTAGAATATTCAGGGCCACACAACCCTGTCTTGAAAAAGAAAGAAAGAAAGAAAGAAAGAAAGAAAGAAAGAAAGAAAGAAAGAAAGAAAGAAAAAGAAAGAAAGAAGAAAGAAAGGAAGAAAGGAAGAAAGCCAGGCATGGTGGTACAGCATCTGAGAGGCCGAACAGGGGGATCTGTCTGACACCAAGGTTAAGGTTTCAGACAGGCTGGGTCACAGGCTAGCCAGGCTACATAAAGAGACCCTGTCTCAAAGCAAACAAGCAAGCAAAAAACAAAACAAAACACTAATAGAGGCGCAGTGGTTCTGGCCTGTAAGGCCAGTGCCTGGGAGGCAGAGGCAGGATGGTAGAGAATGCAAGGCCAACCTG